AGTTAAGCGTTATTATTATTCTTATATTATTATTATTATTATTATTATAAAAGAATATTATATATTAATATAAACTTTATTAGTTTATTTTATTTAGAATATTAAAGTAAGTTAAGCGTTATTATTATTCTTATATTATTATTCTTATATTATTATTCTTATAAAAGAATATTATATGCTAACAGGCCCTATTAGTTAGGCCTCTATAGCTCTTAAAAGCATAAAGGAATAAGAATGACCCTACCTCTGTCCAGGAGGGGGGCCCCTTCGCGTAGGTATATAGTAAAGTCGGGCCCCGCCTCAATACCTGCATCTCCAATATTTTGCCACACCTCAGTCTCGCGATAGCCAGCAGGACCGCGCCGCCGATCCAGGGTACACCCCAGTGATGCCCCTGCTTCTCCAAACCGCCCCACAACCTAAAGGTTATTGAAGAAAACGAACGATTGACAGAACAGATCGTGTACTCTCTAGGGTATCAAGACCAAAGAAGAAGAAAATAAAAGAGCCAAGTCGAATTTGCCCACAGACACATCAAAACCACAAGCAGCCCATAATCACGGACGTGCACGATTGTCCAACTAAGATCCTCCATAACGGAGAAACGGCCCTGCTGCAACCACCCAGGGCGCATAATATCCCATCCAGTAGCGAATCTCGTTGACGACACTGGCGAACAACACAAATGAAGCGGCCCATGATCCCGCCGCGTCTTCCTGTTCACTTCAACTAAGGTACCCGGGAATTACGAACTCTGCCGGCCGTCCCATGACCCATTCTCTCCCTCCTTAGTATCCACCCTCATTGGCACAAGCTGTTTCTCCCCCAGTTTGGTTTCCCCAATTACTTCCTCTTAGCACCCCTGCGTTCGCTGCACTTCAAATCACAGATGTGCAGCGCCAGATTTAAGTGCTTGGCTACGAGATGTGGCGGACAATGCTCGGAGAACCCACGTTGCATGCAAGGAACATCAGGTAGGTATCCGTAGTAAGATGCCTCACCTGTCCTCTGCGCATAGATTCCCTGGTCGACACGTTGGCTAGCAACCCTGCAACGCCGTCATCTTCAGCGAGACGGGAAAATTGTACCTGGCCTGGAACTTCTCCCGGCGAACCGCGCCGTGACCATTTCAATGCACACCTACAGACACACTCACACACTCACACACACACACACACACACACACATACCCCAGCTTTTCCTCTGCCGCCCGCTATCCGCTAACGGGAGGCAATTGCCTGAAGTTGATCGACTGCCATCCTTTACCCGGCAGATGATCCAATGCACCCTCTTTCACATGCGGTCTAGCAGACAGACAGTAACAGCTGTCAAACAGCGCGTAGGCCTGCTCAACCGGCTACATCTCTCGCTTCTGCGCCCGAGTGGTCATGTGTTAACGTACATCCGCCCGTCCCTGATCCTCGGTCTGGAACAACAGCGTTGTCAGACTCAACACGTAAAGTTGAATGGGGTTGCGTGGTGTCTCGACGTCGCATCGTGCGACGACTGTCCGATTGCCTCCCCACATCCTCGCGTCTTTCGATCGACTTGGGAAGGAGACAAGCAGATTTCCATGCAAATGTTGGCTACCATGACTGGGATGACTCGGCCAGCTGCTGGCCGTGAAAGTCTACGCGTCCTATCGTTCAGTCGGTGAGCATGTTTGTCCACGGCCCCAGCCCTAATACTGTCCATATACATTCATCCTTCATCTTCCTCATCCCTTCCCTACGGCCTCTGCCTCTTCTCTTTCCCCATCTACTCATCACATTGCGGTAATCCTACGGGCTCGGAGCGCAGATATTATTATAGGCTGTGTTGTTAGACGTGTTTCTCGGCAGATGCTGCGAACCCCATACCGCAACATCCGTTTAATCATGAACAGTGTCGATGATGCCAACAAAGTACCAGGGCACTACCAAGCGACTCACAAGGCTGCGTCCGTAACACCTCGTTAATGGCGGGGTGAAATATGCGCATTCCACACAGATTTCAGACAAAGGTCTAGCGACTATCAAAAGTTGATGTCCAATTCCACACGCCCCATATCAAGAGATTCTGCTTGATACTGGCCATCGGACCTGACGACCCGTCTACGTCTCTTCTCCCTTCGCTAGCTGCATTCTCCCTGTGAGAATGAAAAGTCACGGGTGGTCAGGACAGGGGTACATGTATGCGTGCGCGCGAATGAGCTTCGGCTTGCTGTATTCAAAGGTACCTACACATTGTTGCAACTAATAGCTTGATCTGACACTGGAACGTTTCCTTTTTGTGGCATTTGGAATAATTAAGATCATATTGCAGTCTCCATTCTCAAGACGGTTTAAGCTCACAAGACCAAACAACAGCGTCGACCGCGGATGTTTTGCATGTCTATGACACGGCCATCACTTCGGGAGACTCGTTTGTACTTGTCGCAAGGCACTCAAAGTCAACGTACCCCGCCCGTTCGAGAGCCCCTGGAATAGAAGGTAGCTCTCAAGTGGTTGGAACGATATCTTGCAGAGGGCATTGGGTGGTCAGCACAGCTAGCATGGGGCAACGATGACAAGACGGCTTGGTGCCCGTCGGGCAATTTCACTTTTCCTTCTTCGTTCCCAGAGACTTGGACCGGAGGTTGTTGCTGGTCGTGGGAGTAGAATGAAAAGAGCAATCAAGAGCGGCCAACACAGTCACTTTCATGGCTTCGATAAACCATCTTCGGAAAGCTAGCCGAAGCCCATGTCTTACATCCTTTCTTCATGCCCACTTGGTCCACGTCGTCAGCAGCATAACAAAACTTGTCACTGGGTGCCCTTTGAAGCCAAACAACATCGAGTTCCTGACTTGAAGATTAGGATTCTGACAATACCTGCACGGAACTTAACTATGCGTCATAAATCGCAGGTATTTGAACGACACGTTGTGTGAGGCCTGCCATTCAAGTTACAAACTTAAATCTCACGGGGAAGCCGCTATTTGCCTCCCAACTCTAAGCCCCTTTCACAGGCACATTCTCAGAAACGACATTTACACCTCTCTACTAGACCATACGTTTGAACCCCGGCAGGGTTGATGCCCTTTGCGCCGGTCGAGCCCACCACCCCCCAGCGTTCCACCCAAATCCTGACTGCAAGGGACTGCGGTCCGACGAGATCCTGCCCCAGGCCCCACACGCTCAACGGGGTCTTTCGAGGTAGTTGTTGAAGGGTTGCATTCCCCTGCCCTGCACAACAGTTTTGTGCACCACTCATGCAAGAGTACGTCTTCACGCCGAGCCCAGAAGCCTAAACATCTCAGCGACCAGGGTTGCTACTCACACTACTAGTTGGACGTTCCCCAATGCCAGGGGACCCTTCCCTCCGAGATCTGCAAGCCCGACGCTGAAGTCCATAGGGGGATTGTGCATGTTTTCGTCTACCCCTCCAAATGCATGTATACCGGCCGAAGGGTATGCAGGCTTAAGTGGCAGGGGAGGCCGGCAGAGTGGAAAGCTTTCCCGGGTCTACAAGCGAAGTACCTGGGTCCGGCTTCCAATGCCGTCGAATATGCACGTGTTCTCGATTGGGATGTACTGATTCGTGATTATCTTGATCGTCTCCTGGGCCACCATGCCGCCTGCCGTGGCGGAGACGTTGTGAAGTTCTCCGCCACGAGCACGGGACACCTCGTGAGCGGCTTCGATGACTCGTTTGTTGTCATCAGCATCTGGCAGGATTTTCTGGACGGATGCCATAATATCGTCCGGTGTGGCCGAAGAGCTGTGAGATGTTGCGTGGAGAGCAAGATATATTGGCAGAAGCGAAAAAGGCATCGGCATCGACGGGTCCTTGGCCAGCTCATCGTTGGCAAATTCCTGTTCTATCGATGGTTCAGCTGTGGCACCTCTGAAGTAGACAACAGTGCTATACTTACGAGCTACGCTTCTTAGTTGGCCGACCCCATCAGTTGTGGGGATGATTAACTTGATGAAAGCGGCATTTTTGCAAAACATGTCAACTTCAGCTGGGTCAACGCTGTCGCCACAAGGATTCTGGCGAACAATGCCCAGAACCTCAGCGGCGTCCTTGCGAGCCTTGTCCTTGTAGATGTTTTGTAGCTTGATGTAGACGTTCGATTGAGCCTTCATGTCCGGAAGACCGCCGGGCAGCGGCAGACACTTGTGCTTCTCGTAGAAGTCGCGAACTGCAGCGGCAATGACCCAGAAACTTGACGTTGATTCCAACTGTGGCTAGGTAAGCACCGGTTTCTATGCGGTTTATTCCGTACGTACCTCGTTAGTGTGCTGGTACTCAAACACCTGCTTTACAGCAGTGGGCAGGGATGGCTGCGAGATGGTTTTCAAGACCGCAGCGACAGCCTCTTCAAAGTTTTCCTCGCCACCTTCAGCGTTATCGGCCCTGGCAGCGTTGGCCACCATCTTGCGGAACTCGACTTTCTCCTTATAGTTGGTGGGCGGCACGTCGTCATGGGTTGATCTCCACACTTTGAGGTAATGTAAAAGAATCACTACGAACGGCAAGTGACCGTGCTCGTGGTTATCAAGGCCGTCGATATCCTTGGTCATGTTCTCGGCAAAAGCCGTCAGTTCTTCCCAAGGTGTCAGAAGACGCAAGTCCGTGGTGGCGGTTGCATCCGGGTGAGTGTCGACGATGGGGTAGACGCCAGGGAGACGTAGCCTAAAGTAAGCGTAAAAACCTGCTGAGTGGATGGCGATGAGTGGCGTCTTGCGTTCTCGGCTGTAGGACTCGAGTGCGCTGAGATGTTCGGGTCTGATGGGCAGCGTATACAGGATGATTGTGAAAGGGCTGTCACTGCCTAGAACTTCTCCAAGCTCCAGGGTTTCCTGTTCCTGTTGTTAGCACATGAGCTCCTTGATATGGATCATTTTGTGGTAGCTCACCGAGTTCCGAGGATGCCAATCACCGTCGACTTCTGGGTTGAGCTCAAGAAGTAGCTCAGTGCAGCACTGTGCACGAGACTTACCCAGAGAGCTCTCGTCAAGGAAGAAGTTGACACCCAGATCAGCCTCAGTCACGGTAGTGTCGTCGGCGATGGTGAATTTGCCGATGCCTGAGTTCGATTAGCTGCTCTTTTCGGCTCCAAAGCGGTATAGTCATATGATGCCTACCTGGGAGAACAAGATTCTTCAGGGTTTCTACGCCGACAGTCCCCGAGCCGGAGTTGACCAGCAGAACATTGGCTGACTCCAGAGCAGCCTGGCCGCTGGCGGCCCATAATCTGAGCTGGCGATCATACTTCTTTTCCTTCTCTGAAGGAACAGAGAGGGAGGGCAGAGCTTGACCGGCGATGATATCAGTCATATTGGACTGTACGCCACAGAGGATTGAACGATTTGGGAGGTTTGTACGCTTAATGTTGTGACGCTGACAGATGGAACTTGAAGGCTGTGAAGACGTGCAGGTACCGTTGCCGCGAGATGTCTCCGCTGAGATGAGTAAAAGGCCAACTGAGCTCCGCTTGGTTTTCCTGGCTGGGTGATGCGAAGCCAATTCGAAGAACGGCGTACGAGGTAATCCGATTGCACTGGCCTGCCTAAGGTAGCAGGGTAGGTAAGTAGGGTATGGAGCGTTTGCTGAGGTAGTCACTAGTGTAAGGTAGTATACAGAGTACAATGAGAGAGAACCTTTACCTAAGGTAGGTAAAGGCGCGGTAGGTACCTACCGGGCTTGGCACGTCCCAGAAAGACTGGTCAGGGAATGCTTACATAACAGCAATCCGAGCTGGACCTAGGTGCCCCCCGCGACACCGGGGGCTTGGCTTCACCCTTTCGGAAGTGTGGCAACTATCTTCCGGGCGTGACAGCGGGTCCAGGTCCCGTCCGTCTTTCAGCTGCGTCTTCCACGGGTGTCGTCTCGTCTATTCCAAACAGGAAATCAAGCTGAAATCGGGAAATAAGCAAAATGGACAGGTAAGTCAACTACCATGTTCCCCTTCATTGTCGCTTTGGTGCCTGCGGGAGATTTTCTTGCCGCCCTTCACGTCCTGCTGTTGTTTCCATCCGTCCCCTGTGTTGCTTGCGAGGGAAGGCCCCTTGCAGGTGCTCCGACAGTAAAATTTAGCAGAGAGGGAGCATGGCGTGGTCGCCGCAGCCGCCCTATTTGGTAGAAAATTTCGACTCACGCACCTTTCACCAGGCGCCCGGTGTCACAGAGACACCGCCATCTCTACGAACGTCTTCTGCGCAAAAGCAATCATGTTCGCCTAGGTGGGAAGGTGTATCTAGTCGTCTTGACATCCATGCGGAATAGGTGAACACACGTTTAGTAGATGCTGGCTGACACCGAAACGAAGCCGCCTAGAACCTCCAGGGCTTCCGGGATATTGCCCAAGGATTGAAACACTCAATCGAAACGTTATTCAACCTTCAGCCCGCATTTTCCAATCCATTCCTCGCGCATGCATGCCGACTAGGGCTGGGCGTCTACCCACATTGTAGCTCGGTGTCTCTGATGCTCGCTGCGCCTTTGCTTTGGTTGGCTCTCTTTTTGGTTATGCCGGCGTTTGGTGTATCATCCATCACCTTGCCAGCAGACACCGACCCCGATATCCAATGACCTCCGACGCTAGGTTCGGTATTGAGGACCGTGGACCATAAAGGTCGGCTTCCCCACAAGATGGCAAGAACGAGACCCGTGGACGGATTCAAGGGAACGGACCACTGGCATGTTGTGTTGGCTCAAGTCGAACCTAGACCATGCCTGCCGCCCACACCCTCAACGGCGCGCGGCTCGAGGTCTTGATTACTTAGCATTCCTCATCTGTAATAAACATGCTGGCCCCGAGCGAGAACTACGAGACGCCGAAAGTAGTGAACGCCTGGAATCTTGACAACCTTCTTCTTGCTTTCTTCTTTTCCTCTCGGTTGGTGTTGCCCTTGCTTACACTGGCCTTGCGCCTTGTCTCACCACTGGTCTCAGTCTCTGGGGGTCGGCGTGGCGCGCCGGCTCCACGCCGTCTTCGCCCACGGAATCAGCTTACGGCCGGCAGCGTCGGGCGAGAGACAAACGAATAGAGCCATGAGCCGCGAATTCAGACATACTAGGAGGTTGATTGCCCAGAGACGGTGGTTGAATTGGGTGATTTGCCTTGGGGCGTGATTCGGAGCTAGTGGATCAAATGCGAATGCATTCTGAACGCCGAACATGCTTTTTCGTGTGGTCCTGTTTCCATTTGTCGCTCCGAACGCCGACTCGTTTTTTTTCTTGCATTCGGAAATGGCACCGTCTGTCTATTTGTCTTTTAAGTCATGGTTCTCCGTTGCGTCGCGTATTCTCTGTCGTTTTTGCTCGCTCCTCGACGCGCCTCCCAAGCGCCATCCAGTCGCTGTTCTGGCCATCTCAACGTCGTGGCATTCTTCACTATGAGTTGTGCTGTTCTGCCGCCAACCGCTATACCTGTTTATCACGAGTCGTCGTCGCCGCAAATGGTCCGAGCCAAAGGACCTATAGCCTGACATTGCGGTGCTGTCCTTTCAATCGGAGAGGTTGCCCTGTTCCAGCACAGTTGGCTTTCTTCTGTCTTGCTAGAAAGCTCCAAGCCTGCCGATGCTGTCGCCAAACGCCACATATATCTCGCATATTATACTCACGATCGATCGATCGACAAGCTTTCCTTATCAGAACACTCAAACGCTCTGTCAGGCGGCCTGTCAGGCAAGCCTGAGATCACTTTCAGTTAGGTAGCGATGGGTCACTTGAGGGGCGATGTCGAGACCGCCAAGCCGGAGACGTTGCCGAGGCATCAATATCGCGATGCCTCCCTGCCAGCATGGAGATTTTGGTTACTGAGTGTCGGGTATGTAACTTTCGTCCTCATCGTCGGTGTATCCAGTACTGATCAGGAGCTAGACTTTGCCTTGGCCTTTTTCTGTCCATGTTGGACTCTTCTATTGTTGCCACGAGTCTGTATACGATCGGCGCAGAATTTGAATCCATGGATCTCATCAACTGGGTCGCGTTGGCTTACACGCTCACCTACCTGAGCTGTGCAGTACTGTTTGCTCGAGTCTCCGATGTTATCGGGCGTCGCAATGCTTTCTTGGCAAGCTTCGTCATCTTCTTCTGCTTCTCCCTTGGCTGCGGCTTTTCTCAGAACCTTGAGCAGTTGATCGCATGCCGCGCACTACAAGGCTTAGGCGGCTCTGGTATGCTGAACACGTTGTATTCTCACCGGAAAAGAAACTAAGTGACTGCAACAGGTTTGTACTCCATTACTATGATCATATTCCCAGAGGTCAGCCCGAAGCATCTGCGCCAGCATATCGCCAGCCTCGTGGGAATGGTGATCGCTAGTGCTGGTGTTCTTGGACCCGTACTTGGCGGCATCTTAACGCATTACACCTCTTGGCGATGGATTTTCTGGATCAAGTAAGTCTACTCACAGTCAGAACGGGCTGATGCTAAGTTGCTACTAGTGGTCCAGTTGGATTTGTATCCATGGTCGTTTTCTACTTGACTTGGCCCCAGGCTGAGCACCTCCCAAGCCTGCAACGTCGAACTTGGAAAGAACTAGACTTTGTTGGGTCCTTCCTCCTCGTGGCTGGCTCCGTGCTCGTTGTTTTCTCGTTTCAGAACGTTGGCTCGGATGGAGACAAGTGGCATCGGGCTATTTTCATAGTCCCGGTGACTGTAGGTGTCTTCTCCTTCATTGCCTTGGTGAGCTGGGAGACACTCGTAGCTCGGTTCTGGGACAAGCGCGTTATGGCGGCAATTCCGATTCGACTGCTACGAAACCACGTGTACGTCGCTGCTATGCTACACACCATGTTTCTGGGATTTCCGTACCTGCTTGTTGTCTACGCCTTCCCTGTTCACCTGCAGATCGTCAACAACAAAAGCTCCTTGCTCGCCGGCATACTTCTCCTGCCGATGCTAGGATCCGTCGCTCTAGGCAGCACTCTTGGCGGCCTGGTGAGCAAGAACAGAAACCTTCTCTTTGAGACTCTGCTCACCGCAAGTTGTTTCATGACACTGGGTTGCGGACTGTTAACAACATTATCACCGTCGGCTGAGCTGGAGCCGAAGGCACTAGGTTTCCTAACCCTGATCGGCTTCGGATTTGGATTGTCGGCAACATCGGCCACTATCCTCGGCACAACAGAATCCGAGATTCCGGACCATGGTAAGTGCCGCGTCAGCCCTGCACCTCTTCTATCTTGGTCTCTGACAGAGCACAGCTGCAGCCCAGGGAATCATCGCACAAGCCCGTATTCTCGGCGGTAGCCTAGGAATTGCGGCGTCGACGGCGATCTTAGGTACTCATATGAGAGAAGAGCTGGCAGGAATCCTAGGACCAGACCAGCTGTCAACGATAACTGGAGTGGGGACGAGCCTGACGGAGGCGCAAGCTACGGCTGTCCGACAGGTGTACGCAGAGTCATTCCAACAAGACATGAAGGTTGGGGCCATCTTATCAGGCGTGGCAATACTGATCAGCTTGGGAGCCTACCGCCGAAATCGGATTTCGATCGAAGAGCAGCGACAACTGCACATCGAGACAGAGATGGAGAGGAGAAGAAGGGCGTCGGCAGCGACTACGCTCGTGTCTTCGACAGATTGAATATGGATAAGGCTGGTTGGTCTGGTTTTGGCGTACGATAGATGACACATAGATTGGCGAGCATGGCGGCAACGCATGATGAATAGACATGACAACGAATTGTTTCCTGTGGGTATTCATACACACTCCTCTGCTGACGAGCGGCGGGGGTCTTGGACTGCGGTGGCGGGGGGAGGAAAGGCCGCCAAGTTTGACATTGCCTTGCACTCATCTTCCATTAGTGGGCGTTTGGTATGACGAGCCGCCCTAGAAGACAACACGCAATGTGGCATTGCCCGGCCCCTAAGTACCTACACCAAAGCGCGACGAAATTCTGTTTACTCCTCGTCTAGTCGTTTACTGCGGTGAAAATAAAATAAAAATAAAAACGCATGTTTATACAAAATATCTACATAGTATCATAAAAGCACACACCTCGGATAGGAAATGATGCAATCGCGTTCCCCCGCCGGTTATCGGGCTGTTGAAACCCCGCATAGTGGGGCTTATCCATTCCGTCCGCCGTACCGTCTTATTCTACCATCTGCTTCCCCTTGCCTTATCCGTCTCTAGAAAGTCGGAAACGTGCTAAGAATCATTCGTCCCTGGGGTTACACGCTGCCTTGGCCAAAGGGTCCAAATCAACAACTTAAAGTCGGCCATTACTTTTAAGTCCCCAGTTGTGCAATCTCCCTACCCTCCTCTTCTGGCTCTTACACATGAAACGCATAGTCCGCTCGCTGTCTTCTACGCTCTGCTCTCGTCATCACCTTCGTCTATCGTCCACCTTCCAGACCATCTTCAACAAGAGCCACATCAGAACCATCATGTCTGCCACCGCTGCCGCCAGACGCCTTGAGGGCAAGACGGTGCTTATCACTGGCGCCTCCAGTGGTATTGGAAAGAGCACTGCCTTTGAATACGCGCGGACGTCGCCCAATAATTTGAAGCTCATTCTCACAGCCCGTCGTATCGACAGTTTGAAAGAGATCGCCGCAAAGATCAACGAGGAGGTCGGAAATGGCGTCAAGATTCATCCTGTCAAATTGGACGTCAGCAACCCGGAGGAGGTCCGCCAGCTTGTGCCCAACCTACCCGAGGATTTCAAAGACATCAGCATCCTGGTGAACAACGCGTAAGTCCCCACCCACGATATTTTAACAGCCTTCCCCATGGTCCTCGCGATTACAGTCATTGAGTGAGACTGATCTTGGCATGCAGAGGTCTCGTCAAGGGCGTCGCAAAAGCCCCTGAAATTGCCGAGGAGGACATCAATGTAATGTTCGCAACCAACGTCACTGGTCTTATCAACATCACCCAGGCCATTCTGCCCATTTTCAAGGCGAGGCCCGACGGTGGCGGCGGTGACATTATTAACATTGGTTCTATTGCCGGTATGTTGAACTAGGGTCTATGGGTTTGAGAACTTCGTTGACGTAAACCACAGGTCGCGAGCCCTACCCGGGTGGTTCTATTTACTGTGCCACCAAGGCTGCTGTGCGTAGCTTCACGGACAGTCTGAGAAAGGAGCTCATTGCCACTCGCATCCGCGTCATCGAAATTGATCCCGGACAGGTTGAGACTGTACGTTCCCAACTCAAGGCGGAACGCCAAATACCTGCCGGCTCTTTTTCTAAAACCAAATTAGGAATTCTCCGTCGTCCGCTTCTATGGTGACAAGTCCAAGGCCGACGCCGTCTATGCGTAAGTGAATAGCCTCGGAGTCCCCACGGCTCTCGTCGATGTTCTTTCCAAATATCTCAGACGCTCCCCCATCTGGAGCTGGTATAGACTGAGCTGACGTTCGCCTGGGTACAGCGGCTGCGAGCCACTGACTCCCGACGACATTGCCGAAGTAGTCGTTTTTACCAGCACGCGCCGGGAGAACGTGGTTGTGGCAGACACCCTCATCTTCCCCCAGCACCAAGTAAGTCAATCAATGAAGGCAAATCGTCGATGGCTCGACTGACATGCTACTAGGGTGCTGCTGGTATCCTCCATCGCAAGTCTTGAAAGTGATCCGCAGTACTGGGATACCTATTCAATCGAGAAAGCTTGGCGTCATTTGGCATTTGCGATCTGGGTGAAGTTGATGAGCCTGGAATCGTTGAGTTAAGCAACTGCACAGATAGATTCAACCAACTTGACAATGAAGAATTGGGTACTCATTGCTAAATCGACATATCAGCAGTAAGAGGCCAGGTGTACTCGATGCTGCAAAGAGCCGTGGGAATAACCTAATATGCGAATGCAAGCTCGGAAAGATGTCCGATAATGCGCTTTTCCGTTACTCAACGACGTTTGTAGGCACATACCTTAAAAGGTACCGAAATTACCTACGCACGCCTCCCCGCCCGGGTCACGAAAGTAGGTACGCAGTATGGGTACCTAGGTACCGATTGTGTTGCGGCCCCCTACCCCGCCCAGAGGCACACCTGCCCGACGGCCTGCCCGGGACTCCCCGCAAGCACGTTGAGGTGACGTTTGGGACACTCAGGTGCCTTAGCTAATACCAACCTCGCAGCCTAGTCCCTAAGTACCTTCGGGTAAGGTAGTCCCCAATGAGGCGACAGAAAATAGAGCAAAAACAACGACATCCCCTAGACCGCTTCTTTAACTCTTGTCAACAGTCCTCATGCCCGTCTCCTGACCCTTTACCTACACGCCTTGCTTCCACGACGACTGCGTGGCTCGCCAACCCCTCAGCTGTGTCCATGCCGCGCGTGGTTGGCATATTGCCCTCAGTCGCACCGCATCGATCTGCTCTGATCCCAATGTCAATGCAACTTCGTTGACTCTTACTTCGTCAGTCCGATTCAACCGCGTCGCAGTACTGCTTTCGCGACATGCAAAGCCTACCACGGCCATGAGCAATCGAAATGGGCTTCACGACCTTCCTCGGCTCCTCCACCGAACGACTGCATTCCCCTCGCACAAAGCCTTCGGCTCCTTCATGCACCGACAAAGTCGACGACACTCTGAATGTAGACTCGGACGTGACCGCGGACACCACCTCTCACAATGGTTACATCTACGACGAATCACACATGTGCGGTCTGCCAGCCGACTGCCCCGATATACGCGAACTTAACAACAGTTTGGTGGCCCTGGCCGCCGTGTTTCCCGACGTCCAGATCCAGGTTTTCCGCGAAATGCTTTCCAACTTCGACCAAGAGTCCAGGCTTGCCGTAGTTGCCGACGCCCTTCTGAAAAACCGTGTCGCCTGGGTCAAAGGTCGCTGGAGAGTCGCCAGTCATCAGCGCACAGAGCCCCAACGGCACGAAAAAGACTTAGGAGAACCAGAAAACCTGCTGGTTCCCCGTGTCGAAACATTTCGAGCCTCTGACTACAAGCAGGCCGTTCAAGCCTTGGCCTGGCACGAGTTCAAGGGTCTCTCGCGATCCACTATCAACGCTGTCCTTGCGGAATCCAACTATTCATATCTCGAAGCACGCAAAATCCTCGTGTCTCTCTCGTCGAAGTCCTGGCGTTTTACCATATCCTCTCTTTTCCTCCGGAGGAAGCCCGTGGCATCTGTCGACGCCGAGAACCATCCTCTAGTAGTCTGGAAGTCAACCGGACAGGGCGCTATTGTGCCGTCTCTCAAAGCTACGGGAAATGCCGAACTGGACAGCGAGTTGTATCGTAATCTAATCCAACCACTGAAGGAGAGGGCCAGGCAAGCGCAGGAGGAAAAAGACCACGGTTATGCCATTCTACTGAATCACGAACAGGCTGAGGAGGTTCACGCCTATCACGAATGTGCTTGCTGCTTTACCGAGACCACCTTCGAGGAATTCACGAACTGCAATGCGGATGGCCACATGCTATGCTTTCGTTGCGTTCAACATTCCGTCAAAGAGGCTGTTTTTGGCCAGGGTTGGCACAGCAGCATCGATATAGATTCCGGCACGCTCAGATGCCTGGCGGTCGAAGCGGACGGATGCCCTGGCTGTATCCCGTACGATCATATGCGCCGCGCAATGCTAGAGGAGAGGAAAGGAGCAGAAATCCTCCACAAGCTCGACCAACGCTTGGCGGAAAACAGCCTGCTAGCATCGAATTTGCCGCTCATCCGGTGTCCATTCTGCGAATATGCCGAAGTTGATGACATTTACCTGCCGGCTCACGAGACACGATTACGCGTCAGGCTTGATAGCCTTCTTAGCCTTTTACTGATTTTTCTTTGCATCCTGACGGTGCCCTTCATTCTCCCCATAGTATTACTCTCATCAGTCGTCTGTCTCTTGGTCAGCACCGAGCGCACGATGGGCGACCACCTCGTGATTCAATGGAAACTCGCTCTCGGTCGCCATCGAAGGCGGCGTCGCGGACTGAAGTTCACTTGTCAGAACCCTGATTGCAACAAGGATTCTTGTCTATGCTGCTCCAAGGCGTGGACAGACATCCACGTGTGCAACGAGTCATCCTTGGTTGCTCTGCGTACACAAGTGGAGCAGGCCATGAGCATGGCCATCAAACGAGTCTGTCCGCGTTGCCATACGTCCTTCGTCAAGAACTCAGGCTGTAATAAACTTACCTGCCCTTGCGGATACAAGATGTGTTACGTATGCCGCAAAGACATCGGGGGCATGAACGGCGAGGGCGAAGGTTACCGGCATTTCTGTGATCACTTCAGGCCTGATGGCGACCCACGACCATGCACTGAGTGCACGAGGTGTAATTTATGGGAGAGCGAGGATACGGACTTCGTGCTAAGGCAGGCGAAGGAGGAGGCCGAGGCCAAGTGGCGGGAGACGGAGAACCGGGAGTTGAGTGGTGCAGAGAAGGCTTTTTTGGAGACGGGCTTCGCTAGGAATGGAGTCTCGTCGGTCGAAAGTTACATCAAGAACGGACGATTGCCGACCTTGGCCGAAGTGTGCGACTTTATAGTCGAAACCGGCTTCGTCTGACGGCCGGCCAGTGGTCTACATGTAGATCACCCACAATGTTGCCTGGTTAGACAAGCCCCTGAAGAACACAAGTTCCGTGGTTTGGGCCGAGACAGGGCGACTTGAAGTTCAATTGTTGTCCCACTTTTGGCTTGCAGGAGCACATCTGGGTGTCGTGATACAGGAACGGCACGTTCTGCCTGCCAGCCGTCCCAAGCGGGATGCTCAATAGGGATTTGGATCATCAAAACGTCCGTTTCGGCTCGTTACAGAGGCCTATGAAAGAATTGTTGACAACATGCTACGTTGTAATAGGAAAACAGGTTAAATCTGAATGCACCGCATCGATTTTCTGATAATATGTATCACTACGAAGGGAAGACATGCAGTACCACTGGTTGATTGTACATGAATTTACGTGTCAAGCGACGAACTAAGGGCTATTTCTATGAAGCCTGCCGGATTTCCAACTTTCAACTACACCGAGCAAATCCGAGCACGCTAGATCTTACTCTTATCGGACAATAGCTCTGCTGCGGCACCGCCGATGGCGAGCTTGCCCGTCTCCTTCACCTTAGTCTGGAAGATGACCTTACTGCCGTCCTTCCACATTTCCGTAACCAAAGTTTGGCCAGGAATTACAGTGCCAGCAAAACGCACCTTGACGTTCTTGATGGGGCCGAAACGCTCATAGACGGCCTTGCCGGCGATGCCAAAGAAGCATAAGCCATGAAGGATGGGAGCTTTAAAACCTCCCATCTTGGCAAAAGCTGGGTCTACGTGTAGAGGACTGCAACCGAACACATTAGGGTGAGATCGACAAGAAAAGGGCAATTTAAGGGGGCAAACGTACTTGTAGTCGCCGCTCAGTCGGTACAATGCGGCCTGCTCCTCGGTTGTCTTTTCCTCAATCACGACGTCAGGATGCCTAGAAGGAGGCTTGTTGGCAGCGGTGCTGGCTCCGCGGTCAGCGGGTTTCTTTTGGCCGCCAAAACCACCACAGCCTCTCAAGAACACTGTCATCTCGTTGTAGAAGATGGGCTCCTTAGTCTCTGCATTGACAGTTGTGATGCCGTTCTTGACGATGGCAGCGTTACCCTTGTCAACTACCTCGAGCAGCTTCCCGTACGATACGAGCTTCGCCGTTGTGGGTATGGGATACTTCTTGATCTCCAGGTACTGCTCTCCATGTAACAGCATCATTGGCGAAAAGTTCGGAACGATATCGTCGAAGTTGTATGGCATTTCTGTTCCAAAGGGAGGAATGACTCCAAACGTCGGAATCACTTGGAAGTCATCAGCACCCTCAAAGACATACTTCAACTGCTCGCGCTTGGCACCAATTCCCAAGTTGTAAAGCATGACATCACGCTCTTCGTACTGGAATTCAGTGCCCTTTGGTTCGGCCTTCATCGCGGCCTTGATGGCTTCGAGGTACTGCGATCCACCGCCAGACGATTCGTCTTGCTGTAATTCAATGGTCAATAACTTGGGTTTCTTTGTTAAGACTAGCGCTACTATACAACGTGTGCCGACAGCATCATCGGGAAATGTAAAGTCATACCTTGTTGCTCTTGTTTTCCATGTTCGCCATGACCTTCTGCAGACCATCCTGTGTCTTTTCGGGATGGTCGGCGCGTCCATCTTCAAAGTTGCGGATCGCATCCCAGTGTTTCAGCACCTCCTCAGGGGTTAATGGGACGTCGACCGGGAAACCGTGACCGCCGCTTCGTTGCCAGCGGGTCTGGCCAACCCAGCCACTGCCGACTTCGTACAGACCGCCGGTAGGGTTTTTCGGCACTTTGTCACTGCAAAGGGCCAAAACAACTGGGGCGATATAGTCAGGCTTGAAGGCCTGGACCATCTCCTCGGGCATAATCGTCCTAGTCATGGCTGTACCGGCATTGGGCGCGATAGTGTTGACATAAATGTTGTACTTGTAGCCCTCGAGAGCCAGCGCGCGAGAGAAGCCCAAGATACCGCATTTCTGCGTGCCTGTTAGTCAAGTAACTTTGCGCATACGGAGACGGAGGAACACGTACAGCAGCTGCATAGTTTGCCTGCCCGAAGTTACCGTAGATACCCGAGGTAGACGTGGTATTGATTACGCGACCATACTTCTGCTTCAGGAAGTAGGGCCAAGCAGCTTTGGTAACCTTGTATGTGCCACGTAGGTGTACGTTCAATACAGGATCCCACAGACTGTCATCCATGTTGTTGAAAGCCTTATCGCGGAGGATGCCTGCGTTGTTAATGACAACATCAACCCGGCCAAAGGCATCGATCGCAGCTTTCACAACTGCGTCACCGTCCTCGGCAGATGCCTTCACTCCAACAGCCTTTCCTCCGAGTTTCTTGATCTCGTTGACGACGTCGTCAGGATTCGCCAGGTCATTGACAACCACGGAGGCGCCATGCTTCGCAAACGCTAAACTATAAGCGCGGCCAATACTGAGCCTTGTTAGCCGGGTCCGGCAGACGTAGGCATGAGGCAACTTACCCAGCACCTCCGCCGGTGACGAGTGCAACGCGGCCAGTGAAGTCCAGCTTCTCTCCCTGATCATTAGGGCCCATCTTCATGGAGTCCTCCAGAAGAGTCAAGAAATCATTGGGTCCCGATGGATATTGAGGATTGGAAAAGTCGGTAGCCTGATCCCACCTTTTCAGAACAGCTCCAGGAGTGTAGCTGTCGTCGGCCTTGAGCAACAAACCGTTGGATCGTTCCCAGCGCAACTTTGCCACATGGCCGCCTCCGACCTCAAAGATGGAGCCGTTCTCATCCACATTGTCTTTATGTACCAGGACAGCAACGAGGGGAACGACCCAGTCGGGCTTCAGGTTTTCCAAAACATCGGGCGGCATCACGGTCTGGGTCATCCTGCTGGCAGCTGTCACACGACTTAGCGCGCCATCTCGCTTGAATCTCCGCTTATCCCACGTTGCACTTACCGATTGGTGCAATCACATTGGAAAGGATGTTGTACTTGGCGCCCTCCTTGGCCAAGGTTTCGGTGAAGCCAACCATAGCGAGTTTGGCAGCTATGCGGCAGCTTAGCGTTAGAAAATCATCGGATGTTGGGCCTTGCAACGAGGCTTACCCGAGTAGTTGGTCTGGCCGAAGCTGCCAAAAAGTCCAGCTGCTGATGCAGTATTGATGACGCGGCCGTATTTTTGCTTCCTGAAATGGGGCCATGCTGCGCGGGCGCACTTGTAGGAACCCTTCACATGTACCTTCATAATCAAGTCCCAGTCTTCGTCCTTCATGTTTTTGAAACTAATGTCCCTCAAAATACCGGCATTGTTGATGAGGATGTCGATGCGACCGAAGTTTTGGATAGCCGTCTCGATAATTTTGTCGCCATTCTCGACCGAGTCGTAGTTCGCAACAGCCTTGCCGCCGGCAGCCTTGATCTCGTTGGCAACAACGTCAGCAGCCTAGAGTGATGTTAGCAACTTCCGAACTATTGACGGCATGTGTCGTGATACCATCATGGTCACAAACCTTTGTCGAGTTGCCTTCGCCCTTGAAAGAGCCGCCTAAATCGTTCACAACAACACTGGCACCGCGGGAGCCGAAGAAGGTGGCATAAGCCTTGCCCAAGCCGCCGCCAGCGCCCGTGACAATAACGACCTGGCCGTCATAGCGTAGCTGGCCAGCCATCTTATCTCTGGAGCTTTGGGGGGACAATGAACGAATAGACGTTTGATGTATTGGGGAAGGGTTTCGATGTAACGCAGACACAGTCGAATGAATGATAGCGTGAGGACATGCGAGATAGAGAAATTGGATAACGCGAGGTTGGAACTGATGTATTGAGAGAGGATGGGCGGATGGTTTTCTAACGCAGCACGTCCGGCAACTCTGAAAGAGCCAGCGTGACGGTTGCCGCAGACAGAGCCGAGGCAGCTTCTCTGACCGAAGCCGACAAATGGCGCTAGTCCGTAATAAGACAGAGACTGGATTCACATGCAACTTAGCCGTGGGTCTGGCGGAAGTCTCCATGAGGTCATGTGGAGAAAAAGACGTCTCCCCCGCCCCTTCCCCATGTCACATGTCCCCAGATTTTGTAAGTTTGACCAGTGACACGAGAGTATTCCGACGGGGCATAATCTGCCTCCACTGAGCCCACCTCTAAGACACCTTACTGCGTAGTGTCCATACATGCAGCGAACCTATTAGTACCTAGGTATTACCGCAACCACCAGGTAGCAGGGTAGGAAAGACGCCGCCACAGGTATGCGGGTGGAAATGCAGTAAGGTTGGTGCTGTACTGCGGTAGCAGGCCAAAGTAAAAGCCCCTATTCAGGTATCTGTGGCTCAAGCAGACCAGGTGCGGTACATCGATCGCAGGCGAAAGACCGGCCACTCAGCGGTTATTCCAGAGCTTCCTGTGGGACCGTCAGTCCCCACGATACGTGGCTTGGGGCTATTACTTACCCATAACACCATAGTATGTTGCGCCTCGGGTCTTCCTCACCTAGAGCTGGATGGACCCAGCTGCCGAACAACACCAAGGTAATGGGATATCGACTCGTGCAGCCAGCAACCTAAATTGATTACAAAACCCAACCCCTGGATTCTCGGAAGTATGATTCGGCACATGCGACGCAGCGACCGGTTGACTGGTTACGCCGCAGAAGACGTACAACACTTCTTCAATGTTTAGGAGAAACTCATCTCAGCGGCAACGTCCACTCCGTGATGCTTGGATGTTCTCCACCCACTAACAACCTCCCTCCCCGGAGTTCGGCACACCTTCGGGACGTCTCAAGGCCTCTACATGTACCACAAGCCTGAGGCCTACTTGCTGCTGTTTGCGCTCAATCTAAACATCATCTTGGGTCAGTCAAAGGAGAAACTTGTGGCATGATGACCGATTCCATGGACATATCCCTTCACATTGATGCGGAGGATAACGAACACGGAGACCTTTTGATGTTTTTTCTTTTTTTCCTCCCTTCGGATAAATAACATCCATCATTCTTCGACCCCATCAACGGTGGTGTGGTGTCTTCGCAGCAAACCAGGGCATCAAGTTCAGACTCGTCGTGGACAAAAACAAGAGAATGACGACACATAGCGGTACAAATAATGTTCTCACTGACGACGTATTTTCTTTGGTGGCAAAATTGATTAGAATACAGTATCGCGGCGGATCTTCCTGTCGCAGAAAGGTTCGTTTTCTCCCCAACTCCAATCGTGATAATCGTGATTCGTAACTCGTAATAACTTTGTCACAGGAAAATATACTCTCCATGGATCTCATACTTGTGACCGTGAGAGATAAAAAAGCAGCTTAGAGGCAAGCTGGTGAATCGTTTCAGAATTCCTTATCCGCCAACATGTCTTCACCCTTGTGTTTGATTTGATTCAATTTTTTGGCGATGCTCTCGGCCCGAAGACGAACAGCTTCCTCCCTAGTTGCGATTTCGTTCTCGAACTGTTCGACCATGTTTCGCTTGTTCTGACGGGCAGCTTTCAGCTTCTGGGTAATCTGGCTGAACTGTTCCAAAAACCAGTCGCCAGAGCGTTCCCAATCACTGACTGGCATTTGCATGAAAAATTGCTTCTGGTCTGCTTCACGCTGGCCTTGGAAATGGACAAGCTTTGCAGGCAGACTATCACCAGTAAGGGGACCGATTCCTTTCAGGGATTTCTTCGTTGGGTCATCGTCAAACGGTTGCTCACGCAGCTCAGAGTACGTCATTCCTGCAAGCTCGTCATCGGCATAGTCGCAGCTGCCCCGGCGCCGCTTTTTTGTATTGTTTCGCTGAGTGCGGCTGGGTGCCGGTAGAGGATTCTCCACGAGGGCCGGCTCTCGAGACAAGGCCTTCTTTCGATTGGCTCGAGGAGTGCCATTATCGTCCTCGCTCAAAGGGTAGTCGCTCGCGAGGCTTCCATCGACCTCGTCATCCAGGTGAAACCCGGCAGTGTGGCGAGTTGGCTGGGTTTGTCCAAGCTTTTCAACCCTTACGAGGCTATTGTTGGGGATCTTGTATGTCGGGGAGTCCGAAAAGACTTCCTGGTCGTCTTCGTAGGCAGCAGGTGCATAAGATCGTCGTACAGTTGCAGGATGCAGTGAGAGTTTCACGGGACGTTGTGGTGAAGAAGTATATGGCTCAGTGGAATAGGCATCCTTTTGAGCTGCAGGTTCGACAGAGGCAGGACCATCACTTTGAGTAAGAGGCAGATCGGGGCCATCATTCGAGTGTGCAACGCGCATGGCACCGTTCTTGCTGATCGTGTATGGCAGTTTGTCAACAGTCTGCAGCGGCAGGAGATTGCCCATAGCGAAAGTAGGCGGTGGGGAGCGGAGCCGGCTGTGGATGTCCATTACGGCGTCATATTTCTCGGACCGTTGAGTCGTAGGCGAGCCGAATTGGCTATCGATCTGTGATTCTGGCCAAAATGCGGACCTATCGCTGCTCTGGGAGTTGGCTCGTTGGTGATGGTGCCTTCGCGGTGAAGCATCGGGAGCGTTCGCGGCAGAGTGCACGCGCAGGGGCTGCATTGAAGATAATCCCGACTGAGGAGGCTGTCGGAGAGTTGTCAGATGTGTAGTATGCGCTCTAGCAGATGCAAATGGTTTTGGGGCAGGAAGCTTCGTGGAGTCGGTAATTGCGTGACTTGAGATTGAATATGCCGGAGGTGTTGCGGAACGCCGTTCCACTTCGTGATTTCTGGCGAGGTTCGCAGTTCCATCGGGAAGAACCGAATCAGAGGAAGGGTTCCTGGCGTACTGGGCCATCCTGTTCGAGCCCAGATTCGGAGGCATGTTGCCAGTGACGTTGCGTCCGTCACTACGCGGCGCCTGGTTTTACTGGGTGTCAAACGTCGAGATCGGATGTCGGGAAAGAATTTTGCGGAAGCAGTTGGGAATTGGTCATTGCAGATGACCACGATGGTCAACAAGCCTTGGGTTGAAAAGGACTGAGACACAATGAGGTGTCGGGCTTTCTTTGATCGAGAACCGTAGGCTGATGCAGCATCAGCTCATCTCTGGTGAGACGGAAGGAGGTGTTTGATACAGCAAGTAGTAGGCTTTAGGTACCGGGCGCGTCAAGGTTCGCGTATTAATGGCCAAAGCGCGCTCAGATGGCATCGGGACAGGGGAGCACGGGAGTACATAAATGTACCTTTTGTGGCGTTAAGTCGGACTCCACAAAACAGCCTATCGCACTATTCGGGTCCCCCCCCCCCCCCCCCCCCCNCCCCCTTTTGGGGCCCCCCCCCCCCCCCTTTTCTGTCTAAAGTTTCGTATCGCGAGTTTTGCCGGTTGAGTGATGTATCCACGTATACCATTCATTATCGCGTTGGGAAACGGTACAGCCCTGTCGCTGATACCACTCCTGCGTGCTTCGGCAAGCAGGCGCGTGAACCATCAGTAAATTGGGCTTTCGATACGCGTCGCCACTCTCGCATGATTATGCCACACGCACTCACCTTGGGGATCTCCCAACCACGATGCGTAAATGACGCCTCTGAGAATTCGGGCGAAAGTTGAATCTCCTTCAAAGGCATAGAAGCGACTTACTAACGACAAGAGCCTCAGTCTATTTCACTGCAGAGCGACTGAGCCCGCCAGCCTGCATTGCCTAGGAGACATAGAAAGACGTAACACTCCAGTTTGCGGTAGCCCCAGCTTGACATCTAGTGCAAATACTTTCAAATCAGTACGGCCGATTGGTATGATCTCTGCCGGCGGCACCAAGCGAGGTTATTGACCGTATCTCGTCAGCGGTGTCACGTGAAATTGGCGTCTCTTCCGGTTATCGGGCCAAACGGGCTTCCAGTAGCTTCTTGCTATCGTCGTCATGATCCATCTCTCGTACCTTAGCGATGAGGGTTAGCAGCTGGGGCGAAACGTGACAGCCCTCAAACTCACAATCCAGTAAACAAGTACCTCACCACTGTTTTCTGACCTCGCATGGCTGGAATGTCTGCACAATGGAGGCATCACATCATAAAGTAGAACGCCAATTCACGTGGTGCTTGAGGAAGGCTGACCAGACGGAGAAGACTGTATCCGGCTTACCGCAGAGACAAAGTTTCAGCGACGTTCTATTTATGCGGTCAGGTGCGGAAGGCGATCCTCAGATTTGGTAATTTGTTTCGGTATTCTCCGGTTCCTCAATAGACCTAGTCTAGCAACCATCTTGGCTGACGAGAAGCTGAGCATGCAGCTCTGCTAACCGCTAAGCCACTTGGGCGCCTCACACGAATTGCTCGACTGCTTCTTCCGATCTATCCTCTTGTTCTCTATGGCGAAGCAATGGTTTCGCCGACTCCCTGGGCAAATATCGTCACCTGCACGACCGCGCCTCCCGCTTACCAGTCATATTTGCTGTCTCTTGGTCTCAGTACTATCCGCTCGCCAGATCTGTAGCAGCTTCATTGCCAGCCAGATCGGCCGAAGCTCGTCTCCAAACGCCGTAGCTCGCAGACGCATTATGAGCAGAGTCTGACGGCAGGCAACGAAAACTGGTGTCGTTAGTTTGTCGGTGCCCTTCACGCCTGTCCTTTGCAATCACAGGACCCATCCTTCCGGCCAACCTCTCACTCAGACTTTTTTCTGGTGCTGCCAATGTTTTCGTGGCCCCATCACCTGGCGCTTAGCCCGAAAAGTGAAAACGGGCCGCCTCAAGTTGGCCAAGACCCTCTCGGGGAGCTACATATCGCCGGCGGTAGGTGTTGGTGAAATCTTGCAGAAGCGCTCTCACTTGTCTGATTGCGCCAGGATCATCACCGCCCAGGCGCTCCTTGATTTTAGTCATCAGTCGGTTTGCTTCGACTGGCGTGATTGTGCCTTGTGGCAGGAGATGGATGGTTCGCTCAACCCAAGCGGTAGTCTCGGCCGGGAACAGCTGGAACATTGCCAGCAGAACGCCGCTGCCATCTGCAAAGCAATCTCGGGGAAAGGTGATCATCATTCCTGCCATGACTTGCTTGACCAGTTTCTCACCGTGTGTGCTGAGCAACTTACTGACGACCTCGCGAATGTGAGCAGCAACATCCGGAGGGAGAACGTCTGATGTTGCCGGGTTGTCGCCGCCGTATGTAAGGAGGTCGCGAAGGAAATGAAGCGTAGCCGAGAGAGGATCGCGTTGTTCCAATGTCAATGCAAAGACGGCTGCTTCAAAGATCGGACCCAGGAGCTCCGATGGTATCAGTCGTTGCGGGTAGTAAAGTAGCGCGTCAATCAGCAGTCGGAAAAAGTCCTCAATGACATCTGGCACCTCGCCGGGCTGAAGCTCGCTCATAACGCGCAGGAATGTCGTTGTCTGCGCCTCGAAGAAGGCGTATATGCTTTGCGTGATTTCCTGGTCCACGTGCTCCCGATCCTCCGAGAACTCTCGAAGTATAGCTGCCGTAACCCAGAGAAAGGCGCCTTGGCGAGAGGCCGAGAAGCCACTGGCCAGCTTGTTCGCCATCTCTGGCAAGAGCGGCGTCATAGCCGTTCTGTAAGAGATGATCATGTTGCGCCAGCACCGGCAAATTCTTTCACAAATGGGAACGAATCCCAGGAAATTGTCCAAGATCGTGGCAAGCACAGGAAAAACCTCTTGCCAGTACTTGACAGCGGGGTTCTCTTCCCCAGGCCCGACATATGGCACTACAACCTGCACAAATGTAGTAACGAGCTGAAGGTGGTCTGGTTATCGTGTCAGCGGCGTGTTAATCGATAAGTCTCAATTGCCAACCCACCAGCAAGTGCCAATTTGCCCTTGTCATCAGTGGCGACATTGGCTTTGTTCATCAAACGTTGAACCAGTGGATCGCAGTAGAGCTTAAGAAGTTTGTAAATCTCAGCAGCCGGCTGGACGGCAACAACACTGGCCACTCCCTCTGTGATTTCCTCCTGACTCATGTCGGGAAGTTTGTCGAGTATTTGATCGTAAAAAGTTTGCATCTGGAGTACTTGCCCACTAAGGAGCTGCTTGCAGTCAGTGCAGAAATATTTGATGGCCATAGCTGCCGCCCTTACAACCTCTTTTGAGTCTGTCTGGAATGAGGTTACGATGTAATTGAACTGCGGCTCGAGATATTCGGGGTGGGCCGCCGTCCATTCCGTATATCGCCCCAGGACCATGATAGTGGCAAACCGGAGCTTCTCATGGCTAGGGATCTGGACGAGTAACGGCATCAACTGCGGAAGAACAATGTTCTCGTCCTTTTCGACCATCTGTCCCATTGCCCGCATCGCAAATAGCGGAGCCTCCAGCTCTTGCCAATGTGGAACGGAAGTTGCTGTGGCTTGACCGGCATACTTTTGCATCCAAAGCTTGATAGCCTCAAGAACCTTAGTAAGGCAGTCTGTCACGCCCATTACTTCGCACGAATCCTTGAGAGTGTCGCCCATTTGATGTCGGAATTCGCGGAATCTTTCCTCCTGCTCCCGATCACCATCAAATAAGTCAGTTTCGTCTGTCGATTCTGACTGGGGGTATTCCAAGTGCTTCAGAAGTAAATCCACGAGTTTGGAATAAACGTCGACAAGCTCCAATCTCGCCTGAATGTAACGTTCGAGTGTCAGGTACTGCTTGAGCTCATACCAGAACTGGAAGGTGTGCTCAATCACATCTCTGTCCTTGTCTCTGGCCGCACATTCCAAGACTGAATCGACGAGAGACCGGAAGTGTCCCGGCTCGCGGGCAATAGCTACCACCCATGCCTCTGCAGCCAGAGCGAAGATCTTGGTCAGAGACTTGTATACTTCCGTATCTTCCTCGTTGACAACAGCCTCGATCCTGGGACGGAGAGCAATAACGCGAGGCAGGAGAGCTTGTATCGTGTCGAGATTGTCGTCGACATCCCTCGTCTCCCGAAAAATTGTGCAGAGACATTCTGAGGCCTCCTGCGAAGCCTGATCGTTGCCCACAGCGTTGAAGATAACGTCGAGAAGAGGGGACTTAACAACAGTGCTGACGGGAACCTCACGGAGCCAGGATGTAATACACTCCATTAACTGGGGGTTTTGAGCAGCAGAGGCTGCATAAATGACTCATCAGCGCGGTTTCTAAGATGTATATCTTGTATACGGGTTCAGGACGTACCAGATGATTGAGAGTAGTTAATTAGCAGTTGCACAACCTGGTCCGTATTGTCACCCAGCAATTCCCTGGTCCGCTGAGAAAGCTCTTCTTCCTGTCATTGCCAATTAGACTCTGATCCCTGTTGATATCGGCCCAGCAAAACCCCGCCGCTGGAAGTAGAAGGCCGGTCGGTGTTTCCGTGATCCACGTACAGTTAAGGTGATTTTGCGGCCTTCGGTCACCTCCTCGGGCAGCACGCGCAGAAAGTCGAGAATGGCGGCGTGGCTCTCAACGCTGTCCCCGAGAGATGATACTACCGTGGGAAGAACATCCTTCCAGTCCTTCATCTGCACTGCCAGTGTCGCCAGACACACGCAGAGCTGAACTCGTATGGGTTTGGGACCGGGAGCGAAATGCTTCAAAAGGAACAGGATTTGGTCTCGCAGCGCAGGCAGCTCTGTTTCCGATACTTGCGTCGTCAAGTCGTAAGTTATCTGTACAGAGTCATGATCAGCTCACCATTTCAAGAAAGACAACCTGAATGTTGTACCTTTCCGCGCAAAGTAATAGCCGCAAAGAGCTTGGCCTCGGGCTCTGCGTCGGACTGAAGGATGCCAATGATGGTGCCCCATGCATCTTTCTATAATCGTTGTTAGCAGAGAAGTAAGCCGGTGACAGTTGCGTCAGAATTGTGGTAGTCTGACAGATTTTTGGAAACGTTCCAGGTAGGCGTGCGCTTTCTTCTTTGTCTCTTGCTCGCCGCCGCGCATGGTCACCATTGCCGACAAGACGTCGTTGGGCGCGAAGGCCTCTTCAATCCCGTTGGTGGCCATACTTCAGACGTCTAGCGATGTCGCAAGTGTCAATCGGCTGTTTGATAAGGCGGGGAGCGGATATGTGGTCGAGAGAATGTGGTAGGAAAGCCGCATATGACGTCGTGCGGAAGGACCGCAGGTGCCGCAGAAGGGGTATGCGATGAGAGATTAGGTTGCAACTCAGCTCTCGTTTCTTTGAGGCGAAAGGAGCGTTGGGCCAGTGAGGTGGCAGTTGGGAGGCTATCAAAGCTATGCGGCGACGTCCAAAAAGGGTGGATGGAGGGGGTGGAAGAACGTCGCGAAAGGAAAATAAAACGTCAGTCAGGCTGGCGGGACAGCAGGCGGGTCCAGAGACAACCTACCTAGGTACCTTAGGAATCCGACCTGACTAGGTGTCTAAAGCCGGCTAGGCTGTTCTCTCCCCCCTACCATACCCTATGCTTATTCGCACCTTAGGTAAGGAATCCGTAGGTACTCCGTACCTAGACCAGCACCTACGTCCCTACCTACGTCCCTAACTACCTCCCTGCCTACCTCCCTACCTAGATAGGTAGATACACTGGTAAAATACAAGTATGATTACCTGCATACATTGCATCAGTGTAACGCATATAATATTGCTGAGGCACACCAAAGAGCGCCTCATATAATGTACCCATCCGTAGCTGCGCCAACAACATGTCCTCTCGTACCTTTCCTTGGGTGCCTAGCATTTCATTCCCTGGAGCTTGCAGTGTAGGCAGGTATACTACTTACCTTACCTGCTTACTGACTGGAGATTCTCAAGTTGTTTGCCACGAGCAATTGCCGCGGCACTATTTGAGTCGTTAGAAAGATCTTTTGAGTTATCCGTAGCACCTTTCAGTGCCATGGTAGGTGCTGTGAGGCGCCGCCGGCTTGGGCAACCAGACCTGGATGAGCAAAAGTGGCAGGGGAAGGGACATGATCTATCTCGCGCCGTAACACTATTACGGGTCCATCCATGGATCCATGCCGTGCGTACCTACGCGGAGGACCCCCCTCCTGGACAGAGGTAGGGTCATTCTTGTTCCTTTATGCTTTTAGGGGCCATAGGGTCCTAATAGGCAGAGCCCACTGCAGGCCATTCTTAGCTCTTAATACTAGCGCCCTTCTCGATCCATTCCTTCCCTCTATTATTATTTTTATTCTATGAATAGAGTGATCTACTCCTAATAGACTTACCTACATAAAAGCGATCTCACGGTTCAGATCATAAAAATAATCGAAGAAACAGGGAACTCAAGCGAGGAAATAGGTCCTTTATTATAACCCAATTGACTTAAGCCAGACTACCCTGACTTCAGCATAAGCACCTTTAGAGGCATAACCTCTGCCCTCTGTCGTGCACCCCCTCCCGGGTAGCTACCTAAGACCGGATGGAATATCATTTTGCCAGCCCCACCTAAATTCTAGCAAACCACGGGAACCACCCACACCTGTAACTGACTGAGCCCAGGCCGGGAGTCGCGCACCCTCATCGCGCCCCAGCTGCGAAGAACGTGCTTGCCGACAACTTGCTCCGCCACAACACACTCGACGAAGCCGAACGCGAGCGACAGACAGTACTTGCCGCTGTTCCATATCGTAAAATATTCGAACTCAAAAGCATTGCTCGACCTCTCTCCCACACACCAAAATATGTCAGGACGCGGCGGCGGCGGTGGTCGCAGAGTACTGCTTCCTCCCATCAACTTCATCTTCAGACTCCTTCAGTATGTCGCTGCACAATTCAGGCCCTATGTGTACCGAGATGCTAAAACTTTTATAGGCAGCACACGACCGTCCAGATTTGGCTGTACGAGCAGCTTTCGATTCGAATCGAAGGCAAGATCAGGGTGCGGCGAGTCGTCGAGGTTCTATCAAGAAGCGCTGTACTGACTTGGAGATCACAGGGCTTTGACGAGTTTATGAATCTTGTCATTGATGATGCAGTCGAGGTCAAGCAGGTCACAAAGACGAACCCGGAGGAATCACGGCGGCCACTGGGTGAGTGCCGAAGCTGGTATCAGGCATCCTATTAAGCTAACCACATTGTACAGGTCAAATATTGCTGAAGGGTGACAATGTCTCGCTGATTCAGAGTGTCTCGGAATAGACAGCGATCATGGCGAAGGAACCACATTGCGACGACGAGCCTTGCACACGGATGTTAGGAAGAAGAAAAAGCTTGATACCACGAATTTATCAACATGATGCGGCGGGCTGTCAGCGGTTTTTGAAGCTTTCCACCGGCCTCCTAACCTCCCCGCTGCCGAGGACCACGCCGTCGAGCGGCTGGTCGTGTTGTGCGACGGGAACTGTGCTATCTGAAGGCTGGGAGAGAAATTGCTCCGATAGGGCCAGGCCAAAGAGCATCAGAGGCTTTGTCGCTACTGACGAACTGTTGTTGTACTTCGCAGCGTAACGTCGAATAAAGAGGTCATAAAATCCCTTGCCATGGCCTAGTCTTCGCAGCGAACCTGACTGGGGGTCAATGTCAAAAGCAACTCCTGGGAGCAGCATAAGGTCCAAGAAAGAGGATTCTGGGGGTTCGGCTCCATGCTCACCCAGGACGCGTTGTCTCTGGTCGATGGTGGCTGGGTCAATGCTGGGAATGCCCCATTTGTCCGGCTGCAGCGACTCGTAGTCTTGAAGATCGCGCAAACGGACCATGTCCATGACCCTGGGCGGCGTCTCCTCGGAAGGAAAAGGTGGTTTGTGGAGATACGGGACGTAAACTTGCTTTCCGGATGATAAGGCATGGCGCACAATGTCGTCCGTCTGTATCTCGCCGGACGACATGGAGAGGAAAACGCTGACCCTCTGCGCCTCCACATAAGGTTTGAATGTCTTCAGAGTTTCGCAGACAGTCCGGCCTTTTGGCGAAGCTGAGCATGTGCGTTCCAGAAGAGGTGAGCAGCTTACTTTGAATGTTGATGGACTCATGAGCAACGCCACCTAGCCTGTCCCTCATGACAGACCGCAGCTGCTTCTTGGCGGCCACTAGCGTGGAGCCCATTGTGATTTGTTCCCGTTCCCTCGGCTGTCTGGGGTGCTGGTGTATAGAAAGAAGCTTCTCTGGGTCTTCTGGCATCGGCTTGGTTCCAACTGTGAACGTTATGCATTAGTTAAAGACGAACGAAGCATGCCGTGGAGAGGGATTCACGTGGGGCGTATTTTGAGCATCTTCTGACGTTTCGTTCGTGCGTTCTTGAGGCGGCCTACCTATTGTCGACGATTCACATGCGGGCAAGCGGGGCGTTGTCAGATGGTGACTTGCAGCGATGGTCTTGGGAGATATGTAATAAATGCAGTATGCAAATAGAAGGTACATCGGGGAAACGTATTGTATGTAGTAGTGTTTGCAACGATAATCGAGGCCTCGCAAGTACAAGCATCACCTACGTGAAAAAAGAGACAAAATATATCTGGCGCAGATTCATCGGGACACACATGCTAATGTGTGTGATAGTGGCTGTGTGTCGGCCACTGAAGAGGCCACGCGACAACCTCATCGGGCGAAACAGTAAGTTCTCAACTTGCTGGTGTATTGTTGGTGGCTCTCAGCAAGCCATGCTCTGAAAGGAATTGTCAACCAAATCATGCCAAGTCTACTGGACTCTGGAACCGCACGTACGGATACTTTGGTGCACGTTAATGCGCCAAGAGGCTTGTTGCTTGGCTGGACGTGAAGAAGCCGACACAGGACGGCTCAGTCATATGGATTGCAAGGCTAAGACGCGGGGGAAAGCGTTGGGGCAGGCGAGGGTGGCCGGCCAGAAGCATCACTGGCAATGCGCCAACCCAATTGCCAAGGCGTGGCATTCCGCTACCTTGCTTTACGACTAGACCGACGGCCTCAATAGGCTTGGATCTGTCCTTGGTGACGGTATCCTAAGACGAGTTCTGGCCTTAATTTCCCCGTGCTGTGGGATTTGAGGGGGACAGGGCGGACGCATTTCCTTTCTCGACGTGAAGACAAGCAACTCTGTACAATTTGTTTTTTGTGTTATAGTAAATCACAGACGATATGGGAAAACCCAACAGCTCCAGCTCTTGAGAAGGAAGCACCGCATTGTCTATCCGCCGGAATCCATTCACTAACGCTGCCAGGTGTAGTCGATCCATGCGCAGATTTAATAGGAATGTGGTTTTATCCAATGTCTTGCAGTACCATATCTTACCTACTTGGTACCTTTTCGGCCAGCGAGTTACGACGCCATTCCAGGTTCATGTCGTAGTACTTATTCACACAAGACGTACGCCCACGAAACAAGGGGACCGTCCGGTCTACTGTGCAGTATACTACCCCGCAAAGGCGCATCGCTGCACAGCGGTGCATCATCTGTGTCGCTGCTGTGCCTGTATCCGTACTTAGCTGCGTGAGGGAGGGAAGCTTCACGACTGACGGCTCCAGGCACTTGGTGAAATATATAGATCATTCCCTCAACTCTCTGGTTCGTATTTTCAAAGCACCCAAGCAAATACGTACGCGATAGCGTTGGTTTGTGGTGTAGGTTCATTACTCTAGGGCACCTACTGTGGCGCGACGAGTGTTTTCTACCTGCCTGACCTTGTCCATTGATGGATATACACACGTACTGAGGTAGATACTGCGGTGGGCAGGCAGGTTCAGTGAGGTACCTAATGTAGCTAGCGGCTGCAAGGATCCTGTCAATTGGAAAGTGCGGGACGCTCCCTGGATAGGTAGGTACCCAGGTGTCTAAAGTACAGTCCAGCAGGAGGTAGAGTGCACTGACTTTCACACTACCTATGCCCAGCTAGCTAGGCCTGGAGCTTGAGCCACACTATGACTTTTGTGGAGATCCACTCGCCCTCTCAAAGCAAGTTAGAAGAGCCAAGAAACCCCCCCAGAAGCTCCCACGAGCGTGTCCGGCGTCTTTTGACGGCACTTTTTGCCTTCCCTTCCCATTGCCTGTGCCTTCTCGCCATCCGACCAACAAATACCCCGACCGCCCCCTTCCTTAGCTGCTTTACTACGTAGACCTCTTTCCAACACCAAACTCCACAATCTGAAGATCTTTAGCTCCTACCAAGCGCTCACGGCGACCTCCTCCAAGAAACCTACTGTCGCCCACCTCGACCCGTCGCTTCCGCGCGCCGTCCACGTCTTTTTCTCAAGCTCCCAAAGGCAGCGACTGCAAACAGCCATAATACTCTTCCAGGTAACCAATATCCTAGACGCTCATTTCAGCAATGGCTTCGCCGCCAAAGTCCAAGTACGACATCCTGCCCAGGATGCAGGTCAAGGGCCCATTCTCCGTCCCCTCGCCTGGTGCAATTCCAAAAGAGGGGGAGACGTTACCTCGTCGCCTACCCCAGGCTGTTCCCGACCTGATCACCCTTCCCGGAGGCAACATCACCACCACATACGAGCTAGTCAAGTCAAGCGCCGAGAAGTACGGGAACGCAAAGTGCCTGGGTTCCCGCAAGCTCATCACCACCCACCGCGAGTCAAAAAAGATCAAGAAGATGGTGGATGGTGAGGAGCAAGAGGTCAGCAAAGACTGGACCTATTTCGAGCTGAGCCCTTACGAGTACATCACCTACCACGAGTACGAAAAACTCACCCTCCAGCTCGGCTCTGGCCTGCGCAAGTTAGGCATGACCAAGGGCGATCGCGTCCATATCTACGCTGCCACCAGTGCGCACTGGCTAGCCATGTCCCACGCCGCCGCTTCTCAGTCCATGCCTGTCGTGACTGCCTACGACACTCTAGGCGAGCAAGGTCTGAGATACTCAATGGTTGCTACCGCCGCCAAGGCCATCTTCCTTGACCCTCATCTTCTCCCTACACTCGTGAATGTCCTCAACGATGCCAAGGACATCCGCTACGTCATCTGGAACAACCAGAACCAGGCTCAGCAGGCACACGTCGACCAGCTCAAGTCTGCACATCCTCAAATCACTATCCTCAGCTTCGATGACCTGAGGAAGCTTGGCCAAGACAACACAGTCGATCCTGTTCCCCCTGGTGCCGAGGACTTGTGCTGTATTATGTATACTTCGGGCTCGACTGGCACTCCAAAGGGTGTCCCCCTGAAGCATAAGGCTGTCGTTGCCGCCGGTATGTTCCCAATCTAGATCTCGAGATCGTCTCGATGGCTGACATTCGTTCCAGTTGCTGGTGTCAGTGTCGTCGTGCAGCCACACATTGGACCTGGCGATGGTCTTCTGACGTACCTCCCTCTCGCCCATATCCTTGAATTTGTTTTCGAGAATGCCTGTCTCTACTGGGGGTCGACCATGGGCTACGGCAACCCCAAGACATTGTCCGATACTTCGGTCCGAAACTGTGCCGGCGATATCAGAGAGTTCAAGCCCTCCGTCATGGTCGGCGTCCCTGCAGTCTGGGAGACGGTCAAGAAGGGCATCATCGCAAAGGTCAATGCTAGCGGCGCGGTTGTCAAGACGCTCTTCTGGAATGCCTTGGCTACGAAGACGAGCCTGATGAATGCCGGCCTTCCGGGATCTAGCATCGTTGATACTGTGTTCTTGAAGAAATTGAAAGAAGCGACTGGTGGACGCCTCAAGCTTTGCATGAACGGAGGTGGACCCATCGCCAAAGAAACTCAGCATTTCATTTCCATGGCCATTGCGCCTATGATCATAGGATACGGTCTAACCGAGACTACCGCCATGGGCTGTCTTATGAACCCATTGGAGTGGAACGTCAACAATATGGGAGCTATGCCTGCGTCAATTGAGGTCAAGCTGGTTGACTTCGCGGAGGCCGGCTACTTCGCTCACAATAAGCCGAATTCCCAGGGTGAGGTGTGGATCCGCGGCCCGTCGGTCATGGAAGAGTACTGGGACAACCCTAAGGAGACCAAAGAGGCTATCACTGAAGATGGCTGGTTCAAGACAGGCGACATCGGTGAGTTTGACGGCAACGGCCACCTCAGGCTCATCGACCGAAAGAAGAACTTGGTCAAGACTTTGAACGGCGAGTACATTGCCCTTGAGAAGCTGGAATCAATTTATCGTGCGTCCGCACTTGTGGCCAACATTTGTGTGTATGCCGATGCCCAGAAAGCGAAGCCTATTGCGATCATTGTTCCTGCCGAGCCTGCTTTGATGAAGCTGGCAGAGAGCATCGGGATCAAGGGCCCATCTTTGGAAGGACTCGTACATGACCGGAAACTGCAGAGCGCCGTTCTCAAGGAGTTACAGAGCGCCGGCCGACAGGGTGGTCTTTCTGGCATCGAGATCATTGAGGGAGTTGTCTTGTCCGACGAGGAATGGACGCCCCAGAACGTAAGTTTACATGGCTGACCCGGGTTGTCTCTAAAATTTCTTGGATGGCTAATATCTATCGCAGGACTTGGTTACAGCAGCCCAAAAACTGCAGCGCAAGAAGATTTTGGAGAAGTACAAGACCGAGGTGGTCAAGGCGTATGGCTCATCCAACTAGTCAAACACCTAGATGCTTGTTTTCTAGTTGCGTTGAAGTTCTCTAGGACTTGGTATTTATCGAGACCCTTTTTCTTTTTCTTTCTTTCTTTTTTTTCTTCCACAGGTTGGGTTGGACTACGAAACGCTTGATATCCAGGAGTGTGCACGATTCGACTTTGTAACACATAATAACGATTGAGGCCCCTGTTCCCAATCAAAACCAGTTAATGCAATTCGTATTTCACACTCACAGGTAAGGCTAAGGCTCTTACAGAACTATAACGGAGTAAGTGCTGGAATACCGGAGGTTTCGCACGGAAGCTGCTGCTGCCCGGGCGGCCCGGGTTAATTTCAAGGTTGCCTTGCCGACTCGGGACGGTCGGTTCTGGCCACCATCTATACTGGGTTTCCGACGGACCCAGCGGCCCTGGGTCCAGCAATCAGGTGTGGCGTGTTGGTCAATATGATATTGTGAGACACAACACGGCAAAATCACTGGAATCCCATTCCTGTCTGGCCTTGGGTAGGAAATAATAATAATAATAATTGCACTTTGTCCCGCACAGCTCGTCTAGCCCGCAAAACACCACAATACCTTTCAAATCATGGTGAACGTTCCACTTACACCAGGCCATCGTACAGAGAAAGGGCGGATACGATGGTCTCATCGCGTTTGCTACCCTCCTTGAATTCTTCCATGTCGAGACTGCCGTTCTCGTCCTTGTCCATCATGCGAAAAATCTTCCGTACCCGTTTCTCGGGGGTATCTTCGTCCTCAGGAAGCTTAACCATGGAGCCAACCTAGTTCCGAGATTGTCAGCGGGCAACATGGGACAGGCCGAGCTATTTTCCCGGGAGGAGGGTGCGGTATGAGAATGGGACCGGCACCATTGCAAACTGACCATCTTGTAAATCGCCTCGACGATCTTGAGCATTTCGTCGTAGCTAATCTTCCCGTCGCCGTCGATGTCATACAGCTGGAAAGCCCAGTCGAGCTTGTCCTCCATTTTTCCGCGGCTCGTAACGCTTAGAGCGCAAATGAACTCCTTGAAGTCGATGCTTCCTGACTTGTCGCTGTCGAAGACGTTGAAAACGTAGTCTGCAAATGAACTTGGATCGCCAAACGGGAAGAACTGTCTGTAAATCTTCTGAAACTCCTCCTTAGTGAGCATGCCCGACGGACAGTCCTTGAGGAAGCCTGGGTTGCAGGTCAGAACCGTTTGTTCTCGGAAAGTTCGCGATGCGCCCCGAGGAAACAGGTAAAGTAACGAGGAAATATTTTCCGGGCAATTCGTGGTTCGTTTCGCGCGCGATAGATTTTGGGGACTGTGACCAACGTACCCTTGTACCATTGTTGCAACTCCTTCTTGTCGAAATGGGTCGACTTCTGCAGTTCAGCAAGCTGCTCTTGGGAAAGCTTGGACTGGCTGTACAACGGCTTGTTAGCCAATGTCTCGGATGATCTCATTCGACGCAGGTGCTGGAGTCCTCGCCATAAGGTCCGCAGGGTGGTATTCCGTGCCGATGATGGTGACAGAACATGGAAGGACGGAGGACAACGGCACTGTCCGGTGGGTGGCGATCGACTCACGATTTGCCCATGGCTATCTAAAAGCCTTAGCAGCCGAGAACAAGGCGCAGCGAGAGATGTCCTAGAGATGCAGGAGGGGGTATAAGGATCGTGCGAGCGGGCGGTGCGCGATAGGCTTCAGTCGGCAGTGAGTTTGTCGCAAAGAGGGATTGTGTGTGAGAATGATTAGCGTCGGCGGTTGCGGAGGTGGTGGCCGGCTCGGCGTCAGGTTGTCGGCGCGACAGAGTAGGTGAAAACAGGGTGTCCAGGATAAGCGCAAGGAGGTTCTTCCGTTTGTTGGCCAAGGCAAGTGACGAGGATGGCGCGTAGACGAAGACGAGGAGGACAACGAGGCTGGAGACAGGCAAACAAGGTGACGGTGGTAGATGACACAAGCGGGGGAGGGGAAAGAAATAAAGCCCAAGGATGCTGGGGGGGACGGGACACTGGAGGCGACCAACCCAGCCAGGCGGGGGACCAGACCCGACGACCTGACGGGAACTGAGGGTTGAGGCCGGGAACTCGAGGTAAGGTAGGTAGGTAAGGTAAGCTGAGCTGGCGGCGATAGGAGGGGCGGGTACCCTGTAATGAGGAAGCTGTAGCGGAGTAGATGCTGTGCGCGGCCTGTTGGGCAGGCAGTCGACGAGGCGAGAATGAGGTGGAGATACCTGTCATGAAGTGGCTTTCAATGCTGTGGGCGAAGTCGCTATCCACCTATCCCGGGTGAGCTTGCCTACTACCTACCTCACCTGAAGTACCTGGGTAAGTACGTGAGGCAGGCATGATTTGAAGCTACCCGCTCCCTCCCCCCTCTTTGTTTTTTTTCTTTCGTACGCGCTGTCGCTGGCGACTGCGCCGCAGCAAAAGAGCGAGGCCGGTGTTATTCGTCCGATATGGTGGAGGCAGCCCGGCAGCTTCCATGACATTCACCCTACGGCAATGATTCGCCGAAGTGTGCTTGGTCGAAGCTCGCCTTGTCACTGCAAGGCTCGTCAACTACTGTTGAACTGCTAGGACGGTGATGGTGACGGTGACGGTGATGGTGACGGGACTGCATGCGTGTGCCACCAGCCACACTGCGCTTGGATATCTGCTGAGCGGCATGTGCTGAAGCCTCGGAACATTCGCACAAGTGGGGCATATCTTTTCTACGGCGAAAGTACTACCTTAGGTACGCTACTTTAGAGCAGAAGGCGAAGAAACAAGAGCTAAGAAACCTCCAATGACGTTACCCCGGGCATCCAAATCCTGAACGAGGCCCGCTCCTTCTACCAAAATGCGACTTGTCCCACTCGACGTCTTAAGGTAGTTGCCAAGCGGCCTCCGACAACACAGCCCGCCACTTTGGTGCGCAGGAACGTGTGGTAGTCTGCCAATGGTAGGAAGCAGGACGTCAGCTTGGCTCCTTCTCAATGAACAGTGACCTGAACAGTCTGCCCCAATATACGTCTTCATGCAAAAGGCAGTTCCTTGGGCATCCCTTGATCATCGCACGAAGAAAACCGCCACCAGCTTCTGTGTGTGGGGATGAAGAACCACCGGAACAGTATCATAACGAACCACGGCAGCGCTGGCCACCACGCATATATTCCGTCCTCGAACAACTTGTCTCGGTTTGTGAGAAGAAGCGGGATCGTTGTTGTCTGCAATCAAGCCATCATGTGAGCCATCCAGTCGCACATCTGTGCCGGGGGGGAGGAGGACAAGACCGTAATTGGTGCATACCTTAAGCGCCGGGTCGTTGCTCTTGCGAAGCAGCTCTTTCATGAGTTTCTCAAACCACTCGTCCCATTCGACATCATATTCTCCAAGCTTCAGCAACGTGTCAATCTCGTCGCTCAAATGCTGCCGCAGGCCCGGCATGAACGAGTCAATGATGCCCTTGAGCTTCATTCCGTTGTACGCCTCCTCGCCCTCCCCTTCCCCCTTTTGCACCTTCTCCAAATAGCTCAGGTACTCATGCAACCCGCCAGTAAAGGCCTCATGTTGGGCGATGTTGGCTTCCATGAGCCCCGATGCTTCTGCCATCTTCTCGATTGCCGGGAACACATCTCTCTCCTCGGTCTGGTGGTGTTCTTCCACCATCTTTGCCCACTCTATGGCGTACGAAACAAAGTCCTGGACGTCGTTTGGCGACTTCTCTACGTTGATGCACTGCAGGTAGACCGTGTTGATGATACGGATGATCATATTGTGGATAATGATCATGTCTTCGGCCATGCGCCTGGCTCCGGTGGTTTTCACGCCTTTCTAACCGGGCACAGAATGTTAACCCAAGTTCGACGATTGCGAAGCGCTCGCCACAGCAAAGAGTCTCTGTAGACATACCTGAGATCCTACACGAGCACTGCTGATGAGGGTAAAGGGCCCGTCGGCCCATGGCTTTTGGCCAGTCATGCTGATGGGATTGTGTAATAAAAACTCGACTCTTTTCGCAAATGTTTCTGGTAGAGATGCTGTCAGCTAACGAGGAGATGGCAAGATGACCTACGTATGCTCACACATCCGAACAAAGACTGCAAGCGATCAGGAGCTGCCTGGGCCATATTTGAAGTGTTCCTCGAGACTTGGACTGTCAAGCCTAGTTTCCTTACAATGAGCGGCTGACGAGACAGGATTTTGAGTGCTGACAATAGCACCGAACGCGGCAAGACGAGCCGGGTTGATGGCCCGTTTGAGATGCTGTCACGCCTTGGCCCTTTTTTACCCAACGCCTGTCAACCTATTGTTGTCTTTGGATTGTCAGGATTTGCCCTTTGATTGGGCTTACTGTTTTAATTACCCCGGCCACAGAATATCCAAAGTCCCAAACGCTGGCAGGTTGCCGTGGAGCATCTGCTTCCGAGAGTAAGACATCGATTACGGATCTGGGGCGGGGGCTTTTCAGACACAAGCCGACGGAGGAGACTCCAGGTCACTAAGAATCCTGATCACAGGATAGCGATGATTGAAAGGTACATTATCTGATGGGCCACCAATACGCTACGAACCCAACACTTGAGACTGCTCTTGCCGCTAGAGTTGACAAAAAATTTGATAATTACGAAAGCAGAATGAATGATCCATGCCCGTGTCTCGTTAAGCTTGTTTCTCCCGGCCAGGTCTCTCATAGTCAGAATCAACGAAAAACGCCTCAGTCCACCGTGTAAAAAGAAAAACCCCCGAGCCACCACCGCGTCTCTCAGTTGAGCTCCCCTCGCCCGCCTCATTGTGCGCTGGCATGTCCTTTAACCAACCACGGCTTTCATGCTTAGACTTTCCAAGAACGCCCCTAGATCCTCCTTCTTGACCTCCACCACGCAATGCTCAAAGCTGTCTATTCGAACACGAGCGTTGGTCTCTGCGACAACTTCCTGAAACGCGGAGCCGAATCGGTTTAAGCCATATCCCCTGTCTTTAGCGGGCTCGTCCTCATCCTCGTCCTCGGCCTCGTCGGAATCGGACCCGTCTGATGCCTCTGATTCGGTATCGAGCTCATCATCGTCCTCATCATCCTGCCCTGCCGCTCGGCGAGCAGCTCTTTTTTCTTCGCGAATCTTTTCCTGGTTTCGCCGAGACTCCTCCTTTCGTTTGGACCTTTCGTCCTTGGCTGCCTGTCGTTTTTTTGCCGCCTCGCGGTCGAGAAAGGTCGAGTCCGGCCCACCGCCGCCGCCTGTTCCGACAACGAGGTACACACCGCGTTTGTCATTCAGGCTAGCGACAACTAGGGGAGTACCGCGGCCGCCATGAGAGAGGCGACCTGTAGCATCCTTCTCCTGCTCCACAAGAGCCTCACCCACCCAGAGGGCTAGCTTGGTAAGGGCAGCTGGATGACCAAAAACGGGAACGTCAGGACCCTCCTTGACCACACACATGCGGAACGCCCGCAGATGCTTGATTTGTTTCTTATTTATGAGCGAAGTGCCAGTGCGATAAATGGCGCGGTGTAGAAATTGGGCAGTCGGCAAACCCGACTTGAGATCATCGATGCTGGCGCGAGATCGTTAACAGCAAGATACGCGAAAAAATCCAACGGGGTACATACTTTTCGAGGGCATCATACGCTTCCCAGAACCGGCTAACCCACTCTTGGCTCTGTGTGTTGACACTATCTTCGTCATTGCCGTCCTCAATTTGGGAATCTTTGATTGGATGAGCCAGCTCCGAGCCATCTGCATGTTTGCCGACTTCTAGCAGAGCGCCGATGACAACACCAACATCCTGTGCGCTCAGTGTAGCTCGCCAACCCCAACTTCGAACGAAACCCCAGCCATCCTTGGCGCCAGCGCGGTCTCTGCCATCGGTGTCTACCGCAGGGACCATGTCATCCAAGTTGTAGAGAGAAGCGTATTTTAGGAGCTTGGCTCGAAGCTCACGTTTGAGCATCATGTCCATGTGGGTGTAGCTCTGTTTGCATTGAACAAGGCTCACGCCCATCTTGGCCAACAGCTTGTGCAGCCGCTTTAAGCCAGTCTCACTCCACGTCTTTAGACGGGCAAATAGGTAGGGCGAATGGAGCATGCTGTCGTAGAGACTCCAATGTCTAATGAGAAGGAATTTGGGTTCTGGAGATAGCCTGATGCTCATGTCCTCCGGGCTCCGGGCAGTAGTCGGAATGATACCGGAGTTTTCGGCCGATGTACGGGAGCTGGAGACATCCGGAGGATTCAAACGGCGAACCTCATCTCTGAGAAGTTGGCGGATGCGAGCGCCGCGAACTCCCATCCAGCCGTTACCCTGCCCACGGTCTGAGTTGCGGACTGGGACGGCAATGCCTGCAGACGACCTGCCATAGAGCTCCATGGAGGTGACACCAACGATGGTAAGCCAAAGAAGATCATTGTCTTCACGGCCAAGCTCTGACGCCAACGAATACATCATTGAAGATATGGGTTCCGAAAACGAGGCGCCAATTTTGTAGTACTTTCGCAGGACCCCCTCTTTTTCTCTGCGCAAGCGCAGCAGGCGATGTCGCAAGGACCTCGCTGATGGTGCAGGGGGTGGTTGAGCAGCAGATGGGGGCTCCAGAGGGTCGCTAGACAAAACCATGCCAGCGTCACGGAGAGACACTAGTCCTCTGTGAGCTGGTCGCTGGGGCGATGAGGGTATGGATGAGGACTATTCGGTCTACGGTCAGAAGCTGTCCTGCGATAAAGAGCAATCGGGAATGGGTTTAACTCACAGAATTGCTTCTTCTGCGCTGCCGTGGCCTTTCGTCCGTGTCGCTGGAATCTTCGTCCGGATCTGACCAACTTTTTCTTTTCTGGCCAGCATGGACAGAACCTTCAAAGAGGTCCTCGTCATCGTCGTCTTCTTCTCCAAGATCTTCTCCGTCGTCGTCGATTTCGGGCATGTCAAGCAGAGCCAGATATGCATCTTTTTCGGTCGTGAGGTCGTCCTCTATGTCGCCATCATCAAAAACAATGATCCCTCCCTTTCCTGGTGTATAGGCACGTCCAATTCGACCTGCAACTACTCCACCAGGACAGCGTGCCTGAAGACTTTCATCCTCGTCAACGGCAGGCTCAAGAGGAAAGCCGCCGAAGACATTGCCAAGGTTCCAGGGACGGTGAGAATCGATGACCCAGACCTCAACGCCGCCAAAAGTCAATTCGTCTCCTTCGGGCTCCAGCCCGAGCAAAGTACCCAGATCGACCATGCCCCCAACACCGAGACAGACGACAACTCCTCCGCTCCCCCCTTGGGTTTCCATCATGGGCTGGACCAAGTCCCGGCCGGCGCGCTCGAGATCGGCATAGCCGGAGACAGGCTGGATCTTGTGGGGGATGTAGTCGTGTTTCAATAAACGAGTCAAGATTCGGCATGCGCAGAGGGCGTCAGGCTCGAGCGCAACGAGGATGAGGACGGGTGGTGATAGTGGGTGTCGCGTGTTTTGTAGGTGAAGGTAGAGTTTGGATATCTGAGACCGTGGAAGATACATGGCTAAGAGGATTTCGATGCGTTCCCACGGTATCTGCCGAGTGGCTTCATGAGATGTAAAGGTCGCTTCTTTTTCTCAGGATATGGAGGCGTACTTTGGATGTTGTTGGCGTTCGGGGGCAGGCCGAGAAGACGGGCGTCGGTAGGTTCGAAAGCAAACGCGGCAAGCCAACTCGGACAATGAGCTTGTAGGACCTGATTGAACATTCAAGAACGGCAGGTCGCTTGAATTTGCTACCTCATGCAAAGTCAATCGGCGGCGAGTGCAGTCGGCAGAGATGTTGACGAGCAGGTTTTGACAAGGCAGGCAGTATGAACAAGGTACCAGCACCAGGGAAACGAGGTGGGAGTGATTGACTGAGAGGATGGCCCGGGCGGTTGATTGCCTGAGTGTTTTGCGCGTGAACGCGGTTTACGCGACTGGGGATTGATCTGTACGCGTATGGTGGGGACGGGACGTGCACGCCTACCTTAGGCAAGGTAAGGTGCACCGCACCACACCCTAGGTGCCTCACGTGGGATGGACACTCAAGGAGTTCGGCCGAATGCACTGACCAGATGGAAAGCCAGACCTACCTTACCTTAAGGTAGGTAGGGAATGGAGGGGAATGTCTTCCTACCTTAGGCCGTCCAGCCGGACCTGGCCTTGTGTGCCTCGATGCCATCCACGCCGTCGGATGTCAACCAGGCACGCCAGGGAGGCACCTTCGCGCAAAGCTCAAATTTGCTGGCATCATTTATCTTCACTTCGAGCCATACAACTCCCTTCCCTTCGCCTCTCGACGCCTTTCAGGTCACAAAAATGCCGCGACCGCTTTCTCGAGAAGCTGCATGCGCATACTGAGGTACACCCGGGCGGTTGTGCCTGTTGCATGCCGCATATGCGAGACCTCCTCGAAATGGCAAAGTCCGCGTAGCTCGTCCTCGCGAATTGGTTTGCTCCATCCATCTAGTTAGTTATCTATTGCTGGGTACCTTCACTCACAGTGATCCGCCTGCCCGCCTTGTAGGGGATTCGACTGATATGAGGTGTCCGTTGTGACTCTCGTCATGGTCGTGGATTCGGACATTTACCGCCACAGCACGTTGGAGCCGGTTCTGCTCTTGTATTGCTTTAGTCAACGGATGGGCATCCTTAGAACATTGGGACCAGCCCCGTCAACACCAACGGCTGCGAGCAGTTGGCCGTGATTGGCCTACCACGCCGTCGGTACTGGGAGGAGACCCGGTTCCTGTTACCAGGTGGTGTGCTCTGTTTTCTCTCGCCTGGCTTCTTCCCCGTCCCGCGTCTCCCAGATCCATCCTCCCGTCTCGCCCTCATTTTTTCCCTTTGCCTTCACCACAATTCGTTCCCGCAGTGTTCCGTACACCAATTGTCACGCTCTGCTGCTGCCTGGCCTTTTCGGCATTGCATGTCCAACAGTCTCCACAGCTACGATTTACTTTGGCACCTTCTCACTTCGAGGTCACATCTCAGT